GTTCGCGAGTGTATATGGTTAAGAACTATCATTACACATATTCGCGGGGCTAGTGGTTTGAGATCAACCACTGAAGAACCCACATGCATTTACGAAGATAATGCTGCTTGCATCGAGCAAATGAAACTTGGATTTATCAAAGGTGATAACACCAAACATATTTCTCCCAAATTTTTCTATCAACAACAACAAACTCTCCTCAAGATCCAAGTAAATCAAATAAGATCTGAGGAGAATGTGGCAGATTTATTCACCAAATCATTACCTAAAGCCACATTTGAGAAACATGTTAAAAATATTGGGATGCGTAGACTTTCGGATCTTCCTTGATCATGTACACTTCAGGGGGAGATTTGAATATTCAAAGGTCTAGCTTTTATTTTATGTTACACTCTTTTCCTTAAACCAAGGTTTATTTTTCCCATTGGGTTTTGTTACTCGGTAAGGTTTTTAATGAGGTAACAATATGCATGAACATAGCGATCGAAGTAAGGATTGGTATTCTTTCCTTTGTTCAAGATTTTTATTCACAGGATTTTGACACTTGACGAGATTTTGACAAGAGATCAAGATTCTGCAATTCTACCTACAGCTCAACACAAGGGGTAGTGTTGAAGGTATTTGTAAATTAGTGTGCTGTGTAGATAGAATTTACTTTATATTGTGTAATAAGTTGTACTGGCCTGTGAGCCTTCTCTTGTAAAACCCTACGAAGCTCTTCCCTATATAAGGGAGTTATTATCAATAGAGAAAGATACATCTCCCACAACATTTTTGAAGTTTTTTCTTATACTTATAAAGTTACTTTAAATTTAAGACTAAAAGGTTTTTTAAGTGTTATGTTAGTCAAATTGAAAATAAGATACAAATTTTAATGATATGTAAAGATTTTTTTTAATATTTAAAGTATGAAAAAAGTAAACAACATTTTTATTATTTATTGAGAATTAATTTTGAAAAATACCTTATTAAAAAGGACAATTTTGAGAATTTATTCTTTTTCCCTACAATTCAAATAATAACTCATACTTTGTCTCCAATTTTGTAGCCTTGAGGAGTTCCTCCTTGCAAAAAAACACATTTCTGACGTAAGTTTCTAAAAATGGAATTAAATTTTGAATACATTATTTGTTGTGACCTTATGGAGTCCATGCACTCATCTAATGAACTAAATTTAACCTTTGTTATGTTTTTAAGCAAAACATACAAAGAGTGTATGTATTTAATAGCTTTCAAAAAAAGTTATACGGAGTATTTAATACTCTTTTCATCTTAGAATAGTAGATTTTTTTAAATAGTACTCCGTATTTTTTATTTCAATATCAATTTATAAACAAAAAATTAAGAATTCACCCAAAATAGGAATAAAATATCAAATAAAATCACGATAGGAGCTTCATATTTTTAACCGCAAAGTAGACATTTGCATCGTGACAACGTGACACTGTATATTGACATTGCATGATATTTTTTTAGTATTATATATTGACACTATTGTATTGTAACTCCAATTGTAGAAATAAAATATGAAACTTCTATTTTAAAATTTTGTTTATGTTTTACTCTAATTTAGTATTTTTCTTCAAAATATTTTTTTAAAAAGATAAAATTTTGCATGTTATTTGATGCGAGACAAGTTTTAATAAAAAGTGAATAATAAAACAGGGAATTGCAATTAACTTAGTTCCCACACAACACCAAAAAATGCAACAATAGTTGTTGATCAATTTTGACAATCAGATCAGCAGACTATATTGGGCCGTGTTTTGGGCGCGGGAAAGCACCCTATTTCATTTTCTTTTTTTTTTCCTTTTTTTTGCCTCACAATTTTTTTTCTTTTGTACTCCGTATATACTACCTCCGTCCCTGAGTATTTGTCCAGTTTTGATTTTTTTCGTTCAATTATTTTCAATATTTGACCTATAATTAAATAAAATATATATTGTATTTTAATTATAAAATATTATTTTGAAAATATTTGATATAATAAATCTAATAAAATTCTTTTTGTATCAATATTTAATATCATTTTTATTTAATTTGAGATCAAAGTTTACCAATTTTGACCGAAAAAGGTCAAAAGTAAACAAATACTCAGTGACGGAAGGAGTAGTTAAAAATTATGAAAGTTTTTCTCAAACAAGACCATAAATCATTCATTTATCATTACACCAAGATCATTAAGAAACAGAAAACGTAATAATGATATAAAACCGTAAGAAATACGGAGTACTACAATAGACTTATTCAATCGGTGAAATTTTGGAGGGCGGACCCAGGTTGGCAAGCGACGGCGGCCGGACTTGGCTCAACGGTGGAGAACGGCGGAAGGGCGGTGCAGCGCAGCGGCGCCGGCAAATCGGGAATTCCCTTCAGCCAGAAAGTGTAGAATCTCTTGGAAGGGGATAAAGCAAGCGGCTCCACCTTCACTTTACCGGTGACTCCCTTGAAGATGCCGGAGCCGCCGGTGACGGCCAGGTAACTGTTCTCGTAGGTCAGGTACGGCCCTTGGACGGACACCTGTCCGTAATCTCCGAAGTAGAAGCTGAAAACGGCCTCGAAACGGTCTCCGTTAGTTTTGTCGTCGTGAGTGATCACGAAGCATATTCCGTTAGTTATTCCCAATCTTGTTTGCATGTCCCCGCTGTAGAGCTGCACCACAAAGCCATTATTAACTCATTATTACCCCCAATTTAACGTTTTCTTTTGTTCCCATACAACGTTCATAATTAGGGAATTTCTCCGGTGCCTTTCATAATGAAGGGGCATGGATGCCCTCCCACTAAATTGCTTCCATGTGGACTTTTTAGCCACATCATTTTAACTTTTAAAATTGCATAATGACCCTGTCTCTTTATCCTTATTTAATTTAACTCATCTACACATGCTAATGTCATTTAAAAATATTGTTTTTAAATTGAATCAATCATTCCGTTCTAAAAAAAGATTTTAATTTGATTTTTTAGGATCGAAATTAAAAACTTTGGCCATGAAATTTAAAAAATAATTTGTTGAATAATAATATAAATTTAAACTACTCCCTCCGTCCCAAATTATTTGCAACGTTTACTTTTTCAGCAGTCGCGGGAACTTTTGTTTATTTCTACGTTTTCATTGATTATTTGATAAAATAAAATATTCTTGATACCTCTTATTTCGAA